TGGAGACAGTAAACAGAGATATGAGGCAAAAGGAATAGTAATAACGAAGTACGATATAGTTTCATTTGAAATCCTAAGTTACAAGGAGTGGATGCATCTGCACCATTGAGAACGATTTCGAGCCATTTCACCAGTTACTTCCAGCCATTGGTGTTTAACGTCCCGAAAACCTCAACCAGGAAGTTTACAACTTCCTACGTGGCTGGCCTAAACTAACTGTTGTGGATATCATTGACTGATGAAGTAATGTTTTGGCTTGACCACCACTGGCTCTTTTCCAACCTGACCCTATGTCAGCTAACATTGCTCGTCGAGGAAGGCGATAACTAGGCATGCGTAACACATGTCCTAACCATCTCAGTCGATGTAATTTCACAGCCTCGTCGATTGATTTCCCCTCTTTATCTAGCACTCGATGCCTGACCTCAATATTGCTCACCCTATAATACCACTTCACTCAGGAGATAGAACGCAGGCACCCATGATCAAAGACAGCTAGCCTTTTCATGTCCTCCACTCTCAAAGGCCATGTCTCACAGTCATAAAGGAAGACGGGGCGGACTGCCAAGCAGTACACACGCCTTTTGGTTGATAGCCAGTCTGATATCGCGTCTACGCCGGAGATGGCCACAACTGGTATATGTGAAACTAGCCTTCTGTATCTGTTCTGAGACTTCATCAGCAATCACGCCGTTGGCACTGGCTGATGCAACTTCCCAAATAAATGAAGAAGTCAACGCGCTGTACCAATTCACTCTCTATTTCTAAGCTAGGAGTCAATGTAGTCCAGTCCTACAGCATCATCTTACATTGGGCAGGAGCGAATCGCATGTCAAACATTCGTAAATCGCAGCTCAATGTGTTCAGAACACTCTGTTCTATTTCGTCAGCGTCTTCACCTAGAATGACTACATCATCATTTGCGTATTCTAAGTCAACGAGACTATTATTCCGTGGTGGCAAAAAGTCAATCCCTGAGTTACTGAAGTCAGTTAGGGTTAAGTCCATTAGCATACACATTTATGACAAATTTAAACAGAAATGGGGATAGTGTGCATTCCTGATGGGCAACACTAGTTGTCACCACAGTTATCAGATAACACTTCTCCATAGGCTCTCACCTGGCTGACTGACTGCATGACTTCCAGTGGAGTGCCTTGATCAGTGCAATGTATTTTCTCCACATTTCCTTGGTAGCCAAACATCACCATAGTACCCCTCGGTCGACGGAATGAAATGCCGCTTTCAGGTCAAGAAATATGGCGATTGTTGAACTCCGGTAAGTATACCTATGTTCCAGAATGTGTCGCAGAATGAAGATATGATAAATACACCATCTTCCTGTTCTAAAGCCTGACTAATACCTCTTGTTTGTTTCTCCCGTGGACTACTTAGTCTACGCATGATTATTGAGCCTAGAACTTTAGATACCATATTAGTCAAGCCAATCCCCCTGTGATTATCAGAGGAAGACTTGTCTCCCTTCTTGTCTATCGGGATAGTCAATGACCTATACCAGACAAATGGGACTATCTCTGATTCCCTCACGTTGCCTAACATCTTAGTTAAATTAGACAGTAAATTGTTTCTACTGTCCTTAAACACCTCTGGAGTCATTTCATCGGGTCCCGCTGCTTTGCCTCGTTTCAGATTAGTAACAGTCTTAGTTACCTCAGTTAGGGTCGGAGGACCTGTGTCTATATCCCATTCAGGGAAGTGTTGGATGTTCGGTAAGTTGAGCTTGCCTGTAGGCCAATTAAACTGAAACAATCTCTGAGAAAAATGGCGCCATAATTAGCTCCCAGGATAGACGACTAGGACGTTGAAAAGAACACTCATTTGCCTTCTGCCACTTGTTTCCCTGATAAGTCTAAATAGTTGTTTGGTGTTACCGATCGCCGATACCTTTTCGATCTTCTTTGCTTTTGTCACCCACCGCTGTTCACGGTCATTACGAAGGCTTCTTGTTAGTTTGCGTTTGAGTAGCTTTCGCTCCTCATTATAATCGGAGCTCGCTGGAATCAGTCTTCTTGTGTCAATCAGTTCGGATGAGGCCGTAGAGATCCAATGGCTCTTACTAACTTTTGGTTTTAGGTTATTAACAGCTTTTACAGCTGTAGACAGTTAACTATATGTTGTGTCAGGCTACTTCAGGGAAAGTCCTGCTATCGACCTCAGATACACATTTTGCAATTTCCTCCTTAAATATGGACTCAGAGTCTCGATCTAGTTGGGGACGTAACTGCTTCCCTGCCAACAATTTTTTATGTCCGTTTAATCATGAGCATAAACGTGAACGGACCAAGGCGTGATCAGAGTCTACACACGTGTTCCAGAAGGATCGGCAGTCTTCTACTGACCCTCGCCAACAATATCCCATCACTATGTGGTCTATCTGAGTCCAACGTTGATTTAGTGATGGAGGTAGCCAGGTTACGCAGTGTCTCTCTTTGTGCCTAAAGTTAGTGCTGACTAGGAACAGATGATTATCTGAGCAGAACTGTAGAAGGCGATCACCGTTGTCGGTTCGTCAGCAGGGAACTCCATACGCACTATCTACATACTTCTCAGTTTAGCACAATTTCCCTACTTTGGCATTGAAGTCGCCTACTAAAACAACTATATCTGAGCGTTTTGCTTTTTGCAGCAAATTAAACAGTTTCAGGTAGAAGTCATCCTTTAGTTCATCCGAACTGCAGTCTGTTGGAGCGTAACCGTAGACTACGAAAAGACAATGACGGGTAGCGCCGTCTTTCCTTCTTTTAACGGACCCATTCAGATGGACCGCACACATACGACTACCTATTGGGATTCAGTCAAGGAGTGATTTTTCTACCTTAACACACAATGTTATCCCTACACCTGCGAGTCCTCGCGAACTAGTTGAAGGATCTCCTGACACCCTTAAAGTGAATTTTGCAGATTCACTTTGTTGGTCGGGTGAGGTTAAGTGAATGATCACACTCGGTTCTTGTATGCGTGTCTCCGAAACACAACATACATCCATGTCTCGAGATGCAAGAGTTTTTGCTAGTGATACCTGTTGTCCGATTTGGCAGAGAGTCCTGACGTGAAAAGCTCCTATATGAAGTTGGCAACGTGGCTTTAGGAGGCTGTCGGGGGTGTTGCTATGGCTCTCATCGTTGTTTGTGGTCACAGAGTGAAGTGAAGATGACTCACTAGCCTGAAGAATAGTACTGACTGTAGTAGGAAAGTAAGATGATGAAGGTGATGTGGATATAGGAGAATGATGCTCAGGAAGGCTTCGTATGCTTTCGGAAGTGTATGGGTGGTTGTTACTTCCTGGTTGCCCACACCATGGAAGTTGATTGATTCTTCGGGTATCTGAAACAGAAAGAGGGTTAGTGTTGCGTGACCGCAGAGCCCAGGGGACAACTGCTTGAGCCTACTGGAATTTAAAAAAAGAAATGATTTGGAATATACCCATAAATTAATAAACAACATATTTGAAGACATCAAATTCACAAGAGAAGAAGAACTACACAACAAAATCCCACTTTTAATTGCCCTAATCAGGAGAACTAACACAGGAAATTGAGAAACACAAGTATATAGAAAATCAACGCACACAAACCATATACTCAACTATAGTAGCCATAACCCAATTACCCACAAAAATCTGTGTGCAGACATTGTTTAAAAGAGTTCAAACACACTGTAGCACTCCAGCGTTGAAGAGAATGGAGGGGAAATACCTACTAACTGTATTCAAAAAGAATGGATATCCTCACAATCTCAACAAAAAGTCTTTAAAATCGAGTCACAACACCAACAAGAAACCATCACCAAAGACTACAAGAAAATTCATTCTACCACATATAAAAAATATCTCTGAAATAACAGCCAGAATACTGAAACCGCTTGAAATAGATATAGCAAACAAACCAGTCCGATCACTTAGTTCGATATTGTGCAAACCGAAAGATGCAACAGAAAAAGAAGATAAAATTAATACCATTTACAAAATAAATTGCATGAACTGTAACAGACATTACATCGGTCAAAGTGGGCGTCCCCTTCGAATCAGAATCCAGGAACATAAATTAGCTGTGAAAAGACGTGATATATATTCTTTCATATCAATGCATGTAGATAGTTATGGACATCAATTTGATTGGGATAATGTCGAAATTTTAAACAGAGGAAACACCAAAAGTGCCACAAAAGTCCTAGAAGCCTGGTACTCAAGCGAATATGCGATTAACAAACATGTTAATATAGAACAAGTCTACCAACTAATAAAAAGTAAATCATGTGACGAGAAAGTTCAAAATCCAAGTCAATAAAGAAATTATCAATACAGATGTAAATCGACTACCAGTCACGAAGATGGTTACCAGGACACGCAATTCTATCATTCATGGAGAACTTAAATCAGTTCATTTTATGCCAAAACTTGCGCTGAAGATGTTGTACAGAAGGACGACGAAAGCTCCGCAATTAAACCAACCAGCTCAGAGAACACAACTAATTGCGAACCAACAGAGAGCCAGCTGCTCAACAAATAGGTAGAAAACAGAGATGGAATGACTGGGCATACTCTGAGGAGGCCGTCGAATGATATCGCGCGCAATTCAAGCCATCGCTCAAGTTGAATCCGAATTGAAAGCGATGGACAAGTGGGTTATCGGTGCTTTTGTGACATAGAGGAGATTGTGTGAGTTGGAGGAAGAGGAGATGAGAGATAATGGGGAATAGTAGACCCAGTTGAAGAGCACAGCACCGAATAGAAGAAAGTGGAGATGTGTTTCTGAAACCGTATGTTCCATTAGGAACTCAAAGCAATTGTAATAAATAACATTACGAGCAGATTGAATATCCACATCAGTAATGTAAAACCTTAAAGATAAGAACAAGTTAAAATGATGACAAAGCCTTCAACTAGTCACACTAACACCTAAAAGTAGTTTTATCAGTTAACTGTGACACATTCACTCCTAAAATACTCATGAAGTAAAATCTCAGTAACCTTAACTTACCATTTGCCAAATTTGTAAAATATTATCCTCAGAAACAGAACAAATAGTCCATGGATCATTAATATTCCATGAAAAGTCGGAAATCTTTGCTGTATGCCCAGCATGTATGAATAATAATTCAGGTGGACCATCATCTGCATCTTCAGGAGTCTGATCGATACCAATTTTGCTTAAATCCCAAACATGAAGACGTCGGTCAGTACCTGAACTGGCAAGTATTGTTTCATTATGTGGTGACCATTGGACCTGTTAGTGAAAGATAATAAACATATAAAACAAGTATTATAATAATAATAATAATCCAATCCTCGAACTGCATACATCAACTTGAGTGGAAGCAAATGCATAGGTCATACAGAAAGGCCATTGTCTACTCGCATGACGGAGTATTTGCCAAAGTGGTTGAAAACAGCTGAATTCAAAGTGCCAAAAAGCTCAATAACAAAGCACTTTGTGGACTACGGACATGATATCGACGTTTTCAATTAATTCACTGTTATTGTCAGCAAACAAGCAAACAGGAAGATGTTTGCAATTCCGAAGGAGGCTTGGCCAATTAGAGCTTATAAACCAGGTCTTTCTTTGTATACAAAAGGAAATGGTCGTCAATGTCTATGATACCTTTGAGTTAATATAGGCATTGGGTTCGAGCCTCGGTGGGAACATCATCACTCACTGAGAAATGCAGGTACATCCAGTTGACGAGTCCAAAGGACGAAGTGGTCGTCACTCTGAATCTATCATGGTAATATGTTTTACTTATGAACTGTTGTTATTATTATTAACACTTGATTCTACTTATTATTATTATTATTAATCCTGATTCATTTAAAACTATCTTTTATCGGTAACACTATCTTAACTCGTTTCAACACTTAATTATTATTAAAACTATTACTATGACCATTACTCATTTGTATATTTAAGTCCTTCCTCTAATGACTAAATGTTTATCTAAATGATGTAATTGAATCGCATTGCATTTTATCTTAATTTTAATCTCTAACACTTCCTTCTCCTTATCTATTTGAACATGACCTGAAAAACATTCACACATGTGTCGTTTCGCATGATTAATTCAATGTAGTTTATCTGCTTATCAGTTGTATTGTGGTGAAAGCTGTCTGCAAGTCAAAATTGTAAACAACAATTTACGTCTTTGTTTACGTTCCGAATCGGGGTCATGAGAAAAAACAAGAACAAAGCCTAACCTTGAGGAACTCAACAACCAATCACAGCAGACTAAGTGTGTGCAAATACGATTCGCAGATGTATAGATAACTTTGTAGGCAACAGTCACAAACAGTACAGAATAACCTTCAACAAGAAGAACCAATCAGAAGACGTTGTTTCTCTGCTAAAATAACGAATAATAATGTACACAAAAATCTATAAATATCTCTTGACTTTCTCAATGAACGATCTGTTGCCTGGTCATTGTCTTCTGTCGTTACAATATATCACCCAATATATTTCCAATGGTATATATATATATATATATATACATCCCTGTATGTAGAGTAGTATTCAGCTGAGGAAGAGTTCTACCGAAATTTGGTGAATTCATTAAATCCTGTTTTACTAACTTTCGTTCCTTGTTTTAAATTTGTATCGGGAAATAAGTGTTTCCAATAATAGTAATAATAATGGCTTTATTTAAAACAGTCCTTTCGACACCATGTGGAATTTTTAGCATGTAATACAATACTATATCAAATGATTATGAGCAATAAAATGTGCTCGAAAGGTCACCAGTAAATATTACTGTATAACACTGTGAGACTTTATCAAAACAAATTTTATCCACAAGGGACAATATTACATCTAATGTTCTCAAGATGTAATGCAGAAGTAATAATTAGACAGGGCATTTATATTGATAATATTGTTAAATAAAAATATGAATATAAAAATTAAAATTTAATTGGAAATATTAACACTTATATAATTAATGAATGAAGAAACAAAAAGAGCTATTTACTTAGTGTTTCTCAACAAAGTTAGTCGCATCATGCCTTTCATACTTTTCTTGTCACATAAAAATGTGCACTTGTGGTGAGAGCTGGCTGCTAGCCAAAGTTGGTAGACAGTAATTGACGTCAATATTTATGTCCCCAATATTGATGGTGAGAAAATGAGAACAAAGGCTTTGCATAGGCGGATACAGTTAGCATATGGATGGTCTGACACAGTCACAAAGAGATGCAAGGTTAACTTTCTGTGAGAAACGACCAATCAAAAGACCGTACTTTCTACTAACAATAATCTACAATAATGTACATTAAAATCTATAAATATGTGTTGATTTTCCTTAATAAACGATCTGTTGCCTGGTCCTTGTCTTCTGTTGTTACACACCTGCCAAATAAAGTGCATCATGGAGATTATATTACTTAGTCATCCAAGCATAAAGTCTTACTTAGTTACTTCTAGACCTTCCTGATGAAATGCAAGGATAAGGTTGTATATAGAGAGGATTCTCAGGGTCTGACAAGATAATGTTAGATAATTTCGTGTAGGAGTTCAAGTATCTATCTATAACAGTATTGACAGGTTCACTCAGCAACACCTCACTCGCCTTACTGACAGCTTTCAGTGCCATTCGCAGTGTGACAGTCTTTCTTAAGTAGCTCATAAAAGATTAAGGTGTGGGGGAACAATAGAGAACAATAGGTAGAATACAAGAATTAACAAACTTTAAAATTAGAGACTAGGTGGCACCACACTGTCTTAACTTCCTTACATAGAAGGTTACATAAAATACATTTCAAGAAATTAACACAATGTTGGAAGGCCAGGAAAGATTAGAGAAAAATTTTTATTTTTATTTTTTATTTTTGATTACAGCTTGATGCCATACCGTATTTTCAGTACAAGTATGGAATTTTCAGCATGGATATCGGTAGCCCAAATTTCGCAGGCCGACCATAGATATCGGGTGTGCGTCGGCAGGGGGTCGAACCCCGGACCATGTGCATGGTCGGCAAGAGTCCTAACCACTGTGCCACCGACGCACAATCGAAAGTATTTGATACTCGACTTTAGTTTCAACTTCAGAGCCATTTATGATACTAGAATTATGGGGACGAACCAGTTCAGGTAAGTCGCGATTGAGTTCGAAAGTGAAACTAACAACGTGACATTTGTGGAGAGATTTTGCTTAAGACGATTTGACAAGAACGACTGACTGACTTCGGATAAAAAGCTATTCATTTTGGAAACATCTGATTGAGAAGTAACCGTTATGGAGACAGACTATTGGAATACTTAACTTATAATTGGTTTCTTTATAATGAGGTAAGTCATGTAAGAAGAAAGAAGAATGAAAAGGAGAAAGAGCAGCACCTTAAGGGACATCAGCTAGAGTAAGCAAAGCAGTGGAAGACTTCCCATTGTGAACAGTTTACAGCTTCCTATCAGAAAAGTTAGAATGTAAGAAAGCACTGTCACAAAAAGCTTGTTTAACACAAAAGAGGCCTATGTGTACAGAGTCGAAAGCAGATGTTTAATTAAAGGAAACTGTAATAGAAACTAAGTCTAACACTAAATGACGTTAATGGTCATCCCATAGTTTGTCGATCTCCAAGAAAATGTTCCTTCTAAACTACTACGTTAAGAAATTAATACAATCAAGTAGGTATCACCCAACCTCTACTTTTACAATTTCTGAACTCTTGTGTCTTACCTATTGCAATTTACTATTCCCCATCCTTAGTCTTTCCTCGGCTACTGAAAAAGGACTATGTCATTTCAAGAACAAGGGTATTAAAGGTTATCAGTAGGGCAAAGGGTGTGCAAATTAGTCAGTCAGCTTGTTACTACATTAGTTGATAGACATGTGAACAACTCATGCGAAAAATGGTCTAAATCCATATTGTCTGACCCTCAACACCCAGACCCCCTATTCTCAACTCTCCCCACCTTGTATCACTTGTATCTCATCCGGTAGAAATAGAAGTCAGTACAGTAGATTATATGCTCGTACTGCCAAGTATAGGAAGTCAACGATACCATATGTGGCCAGCCCGTGTTCTATGCGATAGAGACAGTGTAAAGCGCGAAACCTATGAATTACTATGTTGTTAGCGAAATAATCGGCTCTCCTATTTGTAATTTATGGTGGTAGTATCTCAAATAACTGATTGACAATCTTAGCTACTGACATTATTATCAATAATATTTACAATTTTTTTTTTGTATATATGCATGATTTTGCTATCACTACAAATACCACATAAGAACTGCCATTAACAATCAATCCTGTAATATTGTCCTTATAATTGTTTCTAATGTTATTCGATAAAATTAGATGGAATATTGTAGCAAATGCTGAAAATCCCACACTGTATCATTAGTACTGTTTTGGAATAAAATAAATTATTATTATCAAGGAAGGCACACTGAACATATTTGGCACCTCTCCTTGAACTAGAGTGAACATTATGATACAAGACATCAGTAGCATCCAAAGCTTATTATTACAATATACTGTGAAGAAAATTTACGAAGAAAGTGAGGTAAAATGATAGTTTTAGAAAAGTAAGATAAAATTGTCTGTTTTACCGAGAAAGTGCGTTGGTGGTTCAGAGGTAGAACACTCACCAACCACGCCTAAGGTGACCCGGGGTTTGATTCTCAGCTGACGCACTCCTAGGTCCTGCTAAACTGGTAGTAAGCCCTGTAAAGAGCGGAAGTTGGGCGTTAGGCAAACAAACCCACTCCGTATAAACAAAACCATTGCTACCAAAACTTCGGAGCTCGAGCTTGAAGCCCTATGTTCCACTAGGGACGTAAAGGAATAAAATAAATAATAAATAATTTTACCGAGAAAACATAACACTTTCGAGCTGAAGCGTCGGAGGAAGAAGTTTAGTTCTACAGATACGGTTGGCGTTTCAGTTTGAACCATTTCCTCAAACTGTTCGAAACCACGATTATTAAAATATAACAATAGTATCTGGTGACATTTTCATTCAAGTATCGAAATTACTCTGCTTTGGTCAACAATTCGGAAGACTGAAACACACACACACGACACATACAAACCAAGAAACCGAATGTCTATCACACAAATTATTTGTACAACCGGATACAACTGTTCATATTTTGTTATAAGAAGTATGCCATATTACGAGACAATTTCACGAAGACAAATCTTCGGAATTCTGACTACCAGTGAAGTGAACACAAAGTGTTAAAATCAATCAAGCCATTCGTGTAGATTTATTGGCCTTCAAGTGGTATGACATCATCACTACTATCCCCTTAGCTTCCGAGGGGAACATAAGGCTTCAGAAGCATATCTTCATTTCATCCAGTTCTCTACAATCCTTCTGAGCTGGCTAAACGACTGCCTATACTCTTCCATTTCCGCCAAACACATTCTCTCCCCATATCATCCTCAGATTCACGACCAACTGATCGTCTCGCATTCGGGTACCACTCTATTTTTTTCGGCACATTTTCGAAGTATTATTTCTTGATTAATTCGATTCCACAGACCCTTGTTGCTAATGCTTTTAGGGCCGTCTGTTCTTCAGTATCGAGCCAGACAAGATAGCTGTTGATAAAAGTATGTGTTGTATGTATTTTGTGGTAATCATTTTCCTCGCACACCATTGAATATAACTCACCCCACCCCACCCCAATGAAACTTATATTCTCTTGACTATTACTACATTAGTATGTCACCCATTTGTCTGTATTCACACTTTATCTTATGTTCTGTTCTGAATGATTGCACACTTTTTATATACGGTAGTTAATTTGACAATATTAAATAACGAACTATCACTGCATATTATATACATGTACCCCAATACAGACAGACAGTTTCTGGTATGATTTTCACATGCCTTTAATGATGGCTATTTGTATTCTAATGGAGTCATGGATTAATAACTGTAGAGCCTGAGGAAGAATTTATCGGAAACAATTGTTCTTACAAAATCATCTTGTTTTGATTACACTATGGGAATTTTTAATTTACTGAAAACTAGATGAACTTAGGACTGTATTTGACACCTTAATCGAAAATAAATAGCTATCCGGAAATGTGCATCATGAAACACATGACCAAGAATGCAGAAAAGGACTATTCTCCATCTGTAAATAAGAAGCCTCTACATACACGACTGCTATTCAAGGGTGATACATGTAGTGAAATAATGACTAACAAGTTAAGAAAATCAGTTCAAAGAACTTTTAATGCTGGCAAACCATAAGTCTTGTTTCCTACACGACCAATGGTGATTCCTCAGTTGAAAGATGAAGTACCTAGACTAGCCAATTCTAACTGCATCTACGAATTCAACTGCGCTTGTGTTAGGGCGAGTTATATTAGCCGTTGCTCTAGGAACTTCATTTTTCCTGCTCGCTGGGGAACACCTACCAATATTGTGGCTAAATAAAAGTGTATTCAAAACCATCATCAGTTCGATATTAGACCATATGGTCCAAAGACACCGGCCACAAAGCCAGCACTGAAGAGTCCTTCTCTATCATCAACCGGACACCAAATAGATTGCCAAAAGAATCCAGGTCCCGAATACTCACTCCAGACAGCAGAGGTTATTGTAATTCGCGTAAAACAACCAGTGCCCTGTGTACAGGAGAAACAGGTTCAACCAATCACTATCACTACCCTGGCCTGCTTAGGAGTATGCGAATTCATAAACACCTTAATACATCAACCTGTTTGATATGGCCGTCCATCCTGTGCATATAAATTCCCCTAACGTTCTTTATCACACCTGCGTTAACTAACCTTTTCTTTCCTATTTAGACGTAGTTGTGAACATACACACCGAAACACATGCACACACACAAAGCACACAACCTTCTACCCCGAATTTTTTCCCTTTCCCCCGTGCTTGACATGATCATTCATCCATTTGAAGCTTAGAATCAATATGAATAGAATCGAATATGAACACGATTCATGAGAATCCATTATCTATCTATTCATTGTCATTAATAATCATTTACTTTGTAATATTGGGGATGAATTTAGTGTTACAGTTATACGTATTACCACATACACATATATTTTAGACTATTATCTATTAACAATCTATTTGCAAATACCGTTTGGAATTCTGATCTAAACGATTCGATGTTACTCTTTAAAAACAAACACTAATGTTGTCAATAACAAGCATTCTTTCATTATTATGCATTCATATATAACTGTAGAACCTGATGATGAAGAGCAGGTTATCGAAAAGAATGTTCTTTGTTTAGTAATAATTAAAATAAAAACAAATAGTTAAAAACAGGCCTATTTAAACAGATAGTCTCAATGGATTAGCAAGAAGATAAGTAATAATTACTATCACTAACCTGAAATATTTCATCTCGATGAGATTCAAAAGAATGCAGTTTCAATCGCAGATTGCGTAGATCCCAAAGAGCGACCGTCTGAAAGTAACATATAAAGAGTATAAATCTGTTCGAGTGACAAGTACCAAGTAAGTTCAGACTATTAACAACACCTATTTTAGTTCCATATTAGATGAATATATAACACAGAGTGAAGCAGTTTTAATAACTGGATGACGTTATGAACACAATTTATTGCACAGCAGTGTATTCACACGACTTCATAACTTATCCCCCATAAACGATGCGCTATGCCTGAGAGTCGATAGATTCCGGTCTTCCTCTCATGTGACCACGCGTTCATAGCTTCTACGAGATAAGTCCGATTCACCGCCTTCCTCACAAAAGTTATAAATTAAGTGAGAATGTTTGGCGCTTACAACTAGAATGGTGGAAAATGGAGGTCTACCTAGGGGAACCAGTGTAAATAGGTTCCAAAATCCCAAAGGATTGAATGGCGTATGCACCTGGTTTCGGTGACCGGCAACCACAGGAACGCAGCTCCACTACCTTGTGGATCGGACTTTAAGTCAAAGGGCTCGGAGAGTGACGCCTTAAGACAACCACCTGCTCCGATCTGGGTGTTTGAGCAGCATCGCAGAGCTCTCGCACAAAATATAAGATTTTGTGTGACGCATCTCTTGGTGACCATAATATACCAAGTTTGCGTGTTAGTAAAAAGTAGTCCTAGCCCTTGATGTTATCATTGCAGTTTTATCACATATCAGGTATAACAGTTGCGTTAATTCAATCGCTCGATTTTGGTGCTGATTTGATGAACAAAGATTCAGTCATTAACCTTCCTCTCACACTCCAGCAGCAGGGAGTAGAACTATACAAAGCAAGTTATCAAATGGTGTCTGTCAGGGATTCACACTATTCCCAATTCTGTTTAATTTCATCATAGATGTATATGCTAATGGACTTAACCCTAACCGACTTCAGCAACTCAGGGATCGACTTGTTACCACCACGGAATAATAGTCTCGTTGACTTAGAATACGCAGATGATGATATAGTCATTCTAGGTGAAGACGCTGACGAAATAGAGCAGAATCTTCTGACCACCTTCAGCTGAACAGCAATCTTCGAATGTCTGGCATGGGAGCGATTCACTCCTGATGTCAAATGTAAGATGATGAGGCTACTGGAATGGACTGGACTACAGTGACTCATAACTTAAAGATAAACAGGAATCAAGTGGTTGATAGAGCGTGTTGACCACGAACAAAAAAGTCTTGTGTGGCATTCGCCAACTTACTCCATCTGTGGTGTAGACGTGGACCAGAGGGCGTGTGTACTGCTCAGCAGTTCGCTCTGTCCTCCTTTACGGCTGGCTGTGTGACATGGCCATTGAGAGTGGAGAATATGAAAACGCCGGCTGGCTGTGTTTGAACATAGATGTCTGCGTTCTATCTTTCATGTCAGGTAGTATAATAGGGTGAGTATTATTGAGGTTACGCGTCGACTTTTAGGTGAGGAGAGAAGTCAATGCATAAGGTTGTGCAGTGACACCGATTGAGATGGTTAGGACAAGTGTTAGGCGCACGCATGAATAGCCATAGCCTTCCTCGACTACGGGCGATGTTAGTCACTGACATAGGATAGATGAGGTTGGAAAAGAGTTAGCTAGTGGTGGTGGCAGTGGCAGTCAAACCAAAACATGGCTTCATCAGTCAATGAAATCCAAAACAGTTAGTTTAAGCCAGTCAACCAGCCAGTAACGTAGGGAGGTGTAAACTGACTGACTGACTGCCTCGTT